CCAAGTATCCAGACTCTGGTCTCCTACTGAATCTATTTCTCCAAGTATCCAGGCTCTGCATCTCCTACTGAATCTATTTCTCCAAGTATCCAGGCTCTGCATCTCCTACTGAATCTATTTCTCCAAGTATCCAGGCTCTGCGTCTCCTACTGAATCTATTTCTCCAAGTATCCAGGCTCTGTGTCTCCTACTGAATCTATTTCTCCAAGTATCCAGACTCTGCATCTCCTACTGAATCTATTTCTCCAAGTATCCAGGCTCTGTGTCTCCTACTGAATCTATTTCTCCCTAACAAAGTTGGACCTCTCAATGTTTCATATTTTTTGGTTAACAAAATCTAAAGAGTAATATTACTCACATTGGTTATGCACAGAGAGCAAAATGTTATAAAGTTTTACCACAAGAGCAAACCTACACAATGGGCTATCTGCACTCTGCCCACCATGAGTATCAAAACCAAATTTTAGCATTATAAACCCTCAGACTTAACTCTTAGCCACAGTGTGTGTGGGACCTTATTTTTAAACAAATGTCATTCATACGAGTTTCCTCTGTATTCAAACCATATCTATAAACACTATGTTTCCAGTTTGTTTTATGTTTTAAACAGAATTTTGATGAAAATGTAGTATTTACTTTTTGACATTTCCATTCCATACAAGTCAAAATATTTTCCTGAAACTACGTATAAGATATTAGTAAAAAGAAAGACAACAGATTTGATATCCAAGTTTGATAAGTAGAGCACATCAATCGTTGTGGTTCATGATAGATTTTCAAAACACGCCCTATACACTATATCAAATGGTCATGTATATATAACTTTATACTCAAACATGAAAAGTATAACCCACAGCTAATTACGTAAGTTTTCACGTTTATTTATTTTTCAGTTGTTGAACTATGAATGATACTTAATGCCATTGTTACAAAATAGACTTACTTAATCATTTCGAAAGAAACAGCTCGCCGAATTCCATATTAATATACATATTCGGTAACTGTATCTAAATTTCTAGTTGCCACAATTACGAAATCATGGGGAATTTATGGGTTTTCACTTCTGAGCTGGGTTACAACAGACTGGACAGCACACGCTGTAACACTACATTAGCTGTGGGACCCGTAGACAATTTGGAGACACGCCGTTTTTATTTTCGAAACTGTTTTCAAGATGAAACTTTGAATATATATATATATGTAACGTACGTCATTGATACTGTTGCAGTTAACCGAGGTAAGTAGATATAACTAGGTCTCGTAACTTGCGATATACGGTTGCATAGGAAACACGTACACGATCATTAGTTTTTCTAATCCTGTTCTGGATTAAAGTTATAGCTTTCACACTTGAACTTTTTATAAGTGATATGTTGCAAACATTTTATGGGTTATAATTTATGTAATAACATCCACTTCACTTTTAATAGTGTTATATTAATCCGCTGTGACGTATGCTATATAACGGTTTTGTTTGTTCGTTTCGAATATTTCCGTAAAGCTGCATAAAGTATCTTCGCTAGCTGTCCCTAATTTTTTACCTGTTAAGACTAGATGAAAGGCAACTAGTGAATAACACTCGTCGTCCATTTTAATCGAAAAGTGAAATTTTAACACAAACACTCTTCCTCTAATTTTCGTGATATGTATAGATTTAAAATGGTAGTATCTTTACCTATGTAGTTTTATGTCACATATAGTAACCTAAATTAATTTAGGTATGCGAATAATTTTACGCTTGAATAGGCGAAACTGCAGCCCACAGCAGAGGGTACGGCCAATCAAATAGTGTATAGGCCTCTACGTCACAGATTCTCTTCAATATATATATCTTATTTTTATCTATTTATACAATTTTTCAAATAAACTGTATTACATCAAAAGCGTACAGGCGATCACTCAGCACTTTAAATTATTTTATAATAAATTTCATAAATTATTAGAAAGTAAATCATTTACAAACAACTTGAGTACAATTATTTTTAACTTGAAATATTAAACTAATAAGAGGTCGCTAGCATATAAAATCTTATTATAAAGACTAGCGCTAACTTAATAATACTTTCAGTATTTCTGGGTCGGAAAGACAAAATTAAGGCAACTGGTCCTGGCTCAGTTTACTCAGTTATACTTGAAAGTCGTCCTTAAAAAGGGAGGAGGAAGGGGTACCAGAACTATATAGGTGGGTTTATAGTTT